CCCTTGGACGCCCTTGGACGCCCTTGGACGCCCTTGGACGCCCTTGGACGCCCTTGGACTGGACACGATGCGGAGGAACCTCGCTGTTGAACGATGCTCCTCAGCAATTTGTCTTGCTTTTTCCAACGAGGCAAGTGATGAACTGCAGCGAGATTGTTGCCAAGGGAGAATATGCCGCTTGTGCAACAAGGGCTGGGCGACTATACATCAAACAGCCTTGTAAACCGATTGTCGGTGGTCGTGATGAACATCGGGAAAGAATGGTTAAAGATAGGATCGGCCTAGCCCTTCAACTTCAGCACTACACACAGCTCTCTTCCCGAGAGCAGCAATGTTTCCTCCCCATGTAGAGTATACCTTTTTTAGGGTGATTCGTGTCATCGACAGCGATGCCATCCCTCTTCAATACACTCCCAGCATCCAAAGAACAGCATCTTCAATAGAGCTTGAGGTTTGGCGGATTGAAGGCCTGTCCTGGTTGGAGAACACCTTGAAGCAAAATGGCCTGTGCTCCTTGGTCTTGGACTGGACTCGAAAAGCACCGTTTGTTGTGATCGAAAGCAGGAGTTCTACATCACCCGATGGGGTGTGCATATTTTTTTGAGATGGATGGATGTTGCTATTTCATTGCAATGCAGAACTTCCTTGAGATACATTTTGAGCCTCGGAATCGTAGTTTAGGTGGATTCTTGTGTGTGTGTGAGGGAGTATTTTGGGCTCAGATAGCTACTGTAAGATAACATGGTTAACTTGGCTGGGAAGAGTTGGTGCGGTGTGGGTAGGGCATGTCATTGGCCGCCCCTTGTCCGATCATAGAGCCTCTTCTGGTTGACGTGAATGAAGCTTGTCACTGGCCGACGTTCTGCGCTGAGGCTATGCATCGTCTGAACCATTCACGGTTGGAGGCTGGCGATTGAATCAACATAACAAGTCAGTAGGCTAAGGCTGAATGGCCGGACAAGCACCGCAAACATGCGCTGCCGTATGGAGAAGTATGGAGAAATGCATCCTTAAGGAGTTCACAAGTTCAACAGATCCAATGTTTCAGCTTGGGAGGTGAAACCTTCGCCTTCGTCTACAACCCTTCTGGAGGCGCGGAAGGGCAAACTTTGGAGTTTTATCCAGGTGTTTTGAAGGAAAACTCTCGTGGTGGAATCCTTGCTCGTTGCTTTGGACCCCTTCGCATGAAGGTTGAGTGTTCTTTGCTGCGCCTGTTTCGTCAGGTTCATGCCCATGTTCAGAGGGATCCCGCAATACAACCTGTGCTGCAGAAAGCTGATTCTTATTTGAGCAATGAGCCGTCACAATCCAGTCCTCTCATCGTGCTATCACAGGCTTTCGATGACTTGCCATCCAAACACCAAAGGGATGACTTTTTCTGGTCCCTTTTGCAGGCAAGGTGAGCCTTACCGCCGAGGAGCAGCATGGGTGGCTTGGGCAAAAGGCGCTGGTGACGCTGGTTTGGTGGTGCAGGCAGTAAGTGCAAGATAGAACTACAGTTGTACACTTGAAAGAGTCCTACAGTAGAGTAGATAGTGTGGTAAGACTGATAGATCCAACAAACATAGTTCCAGAGTTTGGATGATTTTACGTTCCTCACATTTCCTCCATAACACCTGTGGAGTCATTTTGGCTTTGGAGAAGTGTAAATCCACACCAACTGTCAGACCTATAGAACTCTCCAACCGCACATTCTGAAATCAATCTGTAGCGACGTGCCATGCTATCGCCAACTCATGATTCATCCTTGTCTCGACGGACAATTGAGGGTAAGGTTACCTCACCAATCCATACCAATCCTGCATGAGGATGTTCTTGTTTCTTCTTTCTTTACATACATAACATGTTTTATCAACCTGGAGGCCCAGTCTACCATTTAGCGAGCTTGACCGATGGTCAACCGGGTTGGTCAACCGGTTGACCAACGGTCTCCTGGTTTTGACGAGTTCGCCGGCGGCCCCAGGTCTTTGGCCATCATCCACGAGGATGACGATGGCATCACATTCCGCTATCGACCCTGGGCTTTGTTTGTTGGAAGGCCAGTGATGATTGTGGCTGAGGGATCCATGGGACCATCGAAAAGGATCGAAAAGGCGATAGAGCTTATGAGTAGATCCTCGTCGACGTCCCAACCTTGGTGAGAAAATACAAGAGGACTAAAACACCTTTTCAGGGTGGAGAACGTGTGACCTTTTTGGACAGTCGTTGGCCTTCAGGAATCTTCATCAAGAAGAAGGGTGGCGATTTCGTGCAATGGGGGGAGACGGGCGATGAGCTGCTTGCCTTGATATGGCAAAGCATTGGTTCAAGTCATAAGAGGCATACTGCAAAGTCAAGAACCAGCGATATACCGCGTAAATTCGGGCCGTCCCCTGAGATGCCATCCGACCACCGACACCTGCGGCTGGGCCTTTGGTCCTGATGTGCCTTGTTGGGAGACTTACTTCACCCCACGCTACTTCAAAAAGGATCAAAAAGGTCCAAAAGCAAGCCAACTTGCTGTTTCCATAAATCACTTGATTCTTTTCTTGAGGCATGCCCACACACACATATTACATGAGACAGGCGCAACAAGTTTCGCGTATCCCCACAGATTCTATCAAATGCATGACCTAACTTGGCTTAAAACTGTCAGGTATACCAACAGGATGGCTGGAGCCGCTATCCGAATCGAAAGCCAGGCCATGCGAATCGGAAGAGAGTTTCGCGTTCGAAAGCATGTGATGAAATCACGTTTCTGAATGCTTCTCAGCTCATAGTCTCAGCGGATGCAATTCTCAACGACGGTCATACAGCACTCGAAGACCTTGACAAAAAAGGCAACATACTTTGCAAACACTTGAGAAGTCCGCCGACCGAAACAGTTTGGCTTCCTACTCTGACGATTCGTCTAACAAGATCCACCTTTTCAAAAGCAAACAAGACCTGCCAGCGGGGAAGTGGGGAAGGCATCTTTGGCTTGACGCACAAGCAGCTGCTGAACTCGGATTGGGTCGAGGATGACGCATTGACGGTGAAGTTTGAGTTGGAAGTGCGCCCGGATGACTGGCCACTGGGCGTCGTTTGGGCGGCGGATGGCTTGGTTGGGGGGACCTGACCGCCTAAGCCTGCGTGGTTCTTTTCGGGTTGCCCGGACTTGGCTTGCTTGGCTTGCATGTTTGAATTGATTGTTCTGTTGAGAACGTGCATTGTCAACACTGGATCTGGGTGCATCACATTAGCAGTAACAGGTAGTAAAAGTATGTCGCTATTTTTGGGAAAGGCCTCTAATTACTAGCCATCATCATCCACTGTTACTGGTAATGGGATGATATACCCAAACTGGATCCATTTGCCTTTGCTGCACTGCCACTGATTTGTCAGGTATGGCCGTGCTCCGCTAAAACCACACGTGGATGTGCCACCTTCGACGATCAGTTCAGATATGCGGACCCTGCTGGACGAAGCTCGGCCCACATGTGGATGATGCGATACATGATGATACAGATACATGTAACAGTTGGACAGAAGCCAATTGAAGCATCTAAACAGCTTGGACCACTTTGGTTGGACGATCTGAGGAAGGCAAGTTCAGCCTTGCCCTCAGAACTGAAGTGCTGGCTGTTTCGTTTGTTGGGCACCAAAGGGTGTCTTAAAGGTCGATCACTTTCCAGGAAGATGTCTGACGAAAAACTGATGTCTGACAACACGCCGGCGTCCATGGAAGTCGGAAACCGGAAACCTCCGCATCCTCTTCCCTCGCTTCCTCTTTTTGGCATCCTGGCACCCTCACAGCTGCGCCCCCCCAACGAAGGGTTGAAGGGATGGCGAGCGAGCGAAGAGTATCACCTCACAGCTGCAGGTGATGTGACCTTCGTCGTGCAGGGGGAGACCATGAAGGCTCATTCGCCGATCCTATGTGCGAGGTCCGAGGTCTTTGAGAAGGAGCTCACCGCGGGCCTACGGGAGTCCACCAGCAAGGACCGGATTCGTCCGGAAACGATGACCGAGAAAGACCCGTCTGTTCGGGGAGACCGGAAGAAAAGGGGGTGGAGACTCCAAAGGGGTAGGAACCACTTCGGGGTGTTGGAGATGTAGGGACACTAAGGATAGGGAGTTTACGATGTCATGGGCGCGGAGGTCTCCTCCGCGCTGCTTCTCCAAACATGTGATCGGCAGAGAGCGACTTCCCAGCGCCCTCCAGCGCCGGTGCCACAACCTGCCTCCTGAGTTGTGTCCTCCAAAAGAGCGACGATCGACGATCTGTGCGAACAGGAGATCGTGATTCCGGATTGCGAAGCTGCAACTTTCAAAGCGCTTCTGCAGTTTCTCTACACAGACAGCTTCAGCTGTGCGATGGCCTTAGTGACGAGCATGTCGTCAGTCCCGTGTAGTTTCAACGATTGGTTGAAAACGACGAAACAGGTGGGTACCAGACAGCATTGCTTTTGTCTCACATGGAACATGTGGAATTACTTGCCGCTGTGTCTGAGCTGCCAGAGGGCTGTAGAGAGTCACTGTGTTTGTGTGCAGGTGGGTCATCCGAGCATCCACAATAGCGAGGGTGGTGTGAACAAAGGCTGTTCTTTTTCGGGGTACTGTATCTATGTGTTTTGACTTGAGGAAGGATCATAAGGATCAACGATTTTTGACATGTCGTGACATGTTGTGACCCCAGGATCTAAGCAACCCAAGTTGGGAATGACCCGAGATCTGAATGGACCAGTGGTGCGTTTGTGGATCGGAAACCTGACCCACAAAAACCAGATGAGCGTTGGCGACCCGTGCCTTTTTGATCGGCAGATCGGGAGGGTTCATGCCAGGAATCGCTGAACTTCGATGGGTTCTTCGACGGTCGGGCGAGCTTTCGCCAGGTGGAAGAGCTGGTGAAATCCATTTCTTCCAATTCCAGCGCGGGCCCCGTCGAGTTCGGGTGATCCAACGCTCCCGACGTCAAAGCCGAGAGAATGATGAAACAAAGCCATGGACTAAGCCAGTCTAGAGTCAGTCTAGAAGAGTCCTGGCTGAAAGCAGGTCAGCAGGTCATGAAGTTCTGGACTGAACTGAACAGCTCAAAGTCCAAGTGACAGATTATTTTGTTGCTTTTAGGAGACTTGACAGCCCAGACGAAAGGAGGGTGGGAGGCTAGCTACTTCCCAACTCACCAACCGGGAGGTCGGGGTCTGGCATGTCAGGGAGACACGGTAACTGCCAAGCAACAGACATGCCAACTCCGGTTCTTAATCGGCAATATTTTGTTCCTAGAACATAACAAGAATCACATAGTCAAAAGCCGGCGTGCGGCGACGCGGCAAGATAGCACCGGTTTTGTGCCGAAAAGGGCGCCCTGCGGTCGTGAGGTGACGTGGGGACACAAGGAAGGCTGCAGCTAGTTCATGGGGCCATGCTTATGCTTCTGCTGTCATGCTGGTTAGATTCACACCCCTCCTTAGCTGCAATCTTCCTCAAGTGTCGACCTTCTCGGATCTTGGCCTTTTTGGCCTGAGCTTCTGCCGTCGGGGAAAGCTGCCATGCGCCTTCATACAGCGCACACAAAAGCGGCTCCCTTTCACAGCCGATCTTGGTGAGGACATCTGCCAGCATCTGGCTCGTATCAAGCCAGTGGGCATAAGCTTCGTCATCATCCTCGTAGTTGTTTTCTCCCAGCAGCTCCTTGATCTGAGCGACCAAGATTCGGTCTCTCTTGTCCGTGGGCTGGCCACAGTCCTTGTTCAAGGTGCTCTCCAGGCTCTTTGCATCGGTCATGCAAAGGACCTTTTGCTTGGCGAAGTCACGCTCCAGAGCATTGAACTTCTCGTTGGGGTGCTGGAACTCCATCAGAAGAGCTCGGACATACTCACCGGCCTCGACTCCCATCAAGAAGCCATTGGACTCGGCGGCAAGTGTGCTCCTGCAAACCCTCTTTATGGAACCACTGTAGGTCTCCAGCACAAACATGGGGGTGAGGCCACCGTTGAGGATCTCAGGCAAGGTGAGGGTCACCACAAAGCCACATTGCGACTTTAGCCCTTCCGTATTGGCGAAGGAGCTGTCGGCAAAGACGCAGACACTCACATCCTCGAGCTTCAGCTTGGGGTTGGAGACAAAGCGCCATGTGCTTTTGGAGGTCTCCTTGAGCATCTTTACAGCCTTGTTGAGGTTGACCACATCACGGATCTTCGGTGAACCCATGGACTGGGCAGCAACGGAGACGTTGACCATGACATCAGGACGCGTCTGGCGCGTCACCCATCCAAGCTGACCAATCAGCCCTCTGAAGGCTGTGATTTCCTCTGGTGTTAGAGGAGCTGCCATCATAGCACGTCGGTGCTTGTCCAGGGGCATGTAGTCCACACTCTCGATGGCGTCAAACTGGTCGAGCTCGATGGTGAAGTCGTCTCCTTGACGAACATTCTCTCCACAAAACCTGAAGTTCTTATGCTGCACCTTCAGGTAGATCTCCTTCTCCATGGAGGCAATGCTGTTCTCATACTCAGTGCCGGTTCCAGCACATAGCAAATCATCAACGTGGGTGCAGAGAACGCCTTGGAGGGTGCCATCAACAACCAACATGAAGAGCGCGGCTTCCAGCTTGGACATAGTCCAACCATGTGACTTCAATGTCTTGTAGAGCTTTCGCCACCATGATCGGCCAGCATCTTTGGTGCCGTAGATGGAGCCCAGTGCGCGGAAGAGGTCGTGAGGACTTACTCCAGGTGGAGGAGGTCTTGGTGGTCGCAGTAGTAGAAGGCGACTGATGCCCTGTGACTGCAAATAGGCCGTGGAGGCATCGCATGAAGTGATAACCCACTGCTTCATCACTGCAATCGAGCAGATGAGGTTGAACGCAAGGAGTGATGCCGTAGGGCTGTCTGAGCGAATGCCGGTGGGATTTTCTTGACATCCCTGAACCACTAGCCTGCTTTTGGCTTGGAATGGAAACTCCTTCTTGATCTGGGCATCTGTCTTGCCGGTCTTCTTTTGCATAGCTTTGGCCAAGAGCCGAGGTTTGCTGTTCTTGTCCACATGGACCCACCTGGTGCCGATGATCTGTGCGTCGTCGGGGAGGTTCTCGATCTGCTCTTTGGTGAGGACCTCAACAGCACCAAATTTGGTCCAAGAATCCCACTCCTTCTGCATCGAAGCTTGGAACTTCTCACGATCTTCCTCGTTCAGGTTCTTGAGGGAGATCTCAGTGGATGCTGCCTTGCCAGTCAGGAAGGTCTCGGCAGGAGTGTCGTTGAACATGTCGTCGTAGTTGTCCTCAGATGAGGATTGCTCAGCACCGTACTCCTTCAGCAAGTTGATTTGTCCATCGTTCAGGTGTCTGAGCTGGTTCAGCCGGATGGTGTACGGAAGGCTTGGACAGTCCCAGGGAACATCGTCAGTATAGTACGGTCCGGCTTGTGGCTGGTACTCGGTGCGGACAGGACGATATGCGTGAGCATCCAGCCGGTCAGGATCCTGCATAGCGCTCTGAAGTGAGGTGGCTATTGCGCTTGCGCCAGCAGGTGGTGGCAGAATCTCACTTGGCCTTCGTGAGGTCTCTTGTGGAGGTAGAACAGCAGGTGGTGGAGTTGAGACTGGTAGTGGAGCTGGTTCAGGTTCTTGCAGTTGACCTGGTTCAGCATTTTCTGCTGTCATTTGTGGTTCTTGTACTGCTTCATGTTCAGGAAGACTTCCCATTATGCCAGGACGGCTAGCCGAGGATGGATTGCCAGCAGGTTCACCTGGACTGAACTGAAGCGGTGATGAATCTTCTCCTTGAGGGTCACCTTGAATCGCCAGAATGGCGGTGTGGCCACGGAGATCGGTATAGTTTCTTGCTCCTCGAGCGGCAGCCGGGTGAATGATCTCCTCAGGGATCGAATGTGCAGCCAAGAGCTCATCTTCACTTGCGAACCTTAGCTGTTCGCCAGTCACCAGGATCACGGACGGGCCATACCTGAGCCAGTAGGCATGTGGTTGTCCTCCTTCAGTGGCAGCTTCTGGATCTTCAGCTCGACGTTGGTTTCGACTTTCAGTGCCAATGACTCGAGCTGGGCCGAACCACCTGTAGTTCCGTCCTTGACCTCGGGACTGCTGAGTGGCAGATGCTTGGATGCGGTAGAAGTAGACGTAGCTGCCAATCGGGAAAGGTCCTCTCGTGGGAGTGGATTGATGTAGAAGAGCTCGTCGAACTCTGGAGTCGTTGTCAAGGCGGATCTGAGCAACCCTGGCACTTTCTCTAATGCCAAGTGAGCGGGCAAATGATGAGCTCGGATCTTCTGCGGCCTCAAGTAGCTCCAACTTTTGAGCTTCATCTTCATGAAGTAGTGACCCGGGAATGCGAATCTCAGAAACTCCCAGCACCCATTGCGATGGTGAGAAGCCATTTGGCCGTGGAAAAGAGTTCCGGCACTGGGTCACGATGGAGGTCGCCATGATCACATCTTCGAGCCCTTGGAGTTGCATGTCATGGACGGTTTTGTAGAAGACGTCCTTCCAGAGTGCTCCGGCTCTCTCAACCTTACCATTCTGCCAAGGAGCCTCAAGGGGAACAGTTTCTTGCTCCACACCAAATTCCTTGAGGTAGTCGCTGAAGAAGGCGAGGTACTCCTTGCCACGATCAACTTGAATCGACTGAGGCAAACCTGCCCATGAGCTCCAAGATGTAAGGAAGTGCCTCAGGACTGCCTTCGAGGCTGGAGGCCCAGTGGATTGCCCAAGGCAAGAAACCACTTGATACCCGGTCGCGTCATCAATGACGTTGAGGAAGGAGAACGATGATCCAGCGACATCTCGGGCGTAGAAGACGTCAATCTGCAGTTGGTGGTTGAAGACGTACTTGGTGGGCAACCGAACTGGTTTCGGCCTCCGGCGTCTG